CAGGACAGCATCTGTGGTAGAGAGGGCTGTGTTTTCGCCAAACCCTGGTTCATTATTTTTCTCTTGGGCACGCAGTTGAACTACATTTCCCAGCCCCCCTTGCAGTTACCAGCAGCCACATGACCGAGCTCTGGCCAGTAGATCATGTGCTAGAGTGATGTGCCCCACCCCTGCCCCCATCAGCTGGGTCCACAAACGTCCTTCCATGTCATCTTCCACATTCTCTGTTAGCCCTTCCACAGAGTATTGCAGAGGAGAAGGCCTGAGAAGATGACAGAGCCCCAGGTGGAAGAGCCTGGGCCCGAGTGACTGCGTGGAGCAGGACCCTTGCCCCTCCCCTCCACCCAGCCCACAGTAGGCCATAATGTGAGCAGGAAATAAACTTTGATTTGGGGGCTGTTTGTTATATCTGTTATGACTAGTACAGCCTTTATATCACCCCCATCCAGGAGAGATTCTTCTAGTTTTAAAAGGAAAATGAATCCATCTCAGGTCTCCTTTAAAATAGCAAGCTCCCCCACTGCCTGGGGCCTGGGATCCCTGAAGCTGGGGAGGGTCGCCTCTGGCCTGTGCCTGGTGCCTGCCTGAACTGCATCTTGTCCAGGAGCCTGATTTATGGCCAGCTTGGGCTGCATCCTTTGCCCTCAGGTCCCCCACCCCAGCTTCCCCATTTCCTCACGTCTTCTTCTTCCATTCTGTGGCCTCTCATTTACTTTGGCCATTGTCTGGGGTTGAAAGACTAGGGTTCAGAGGTCAGCTGGATCTATTTATTTTCCTCCCTGACAAATAATGCCCTGAAGACAGGGCCTGGGCTGCTCGCTGCCGAATTGTCTCCTGCCCAGCAGATGATGTGTGCTCAGGACTGCTTCCCAAATGCTGGGCCTGGGCAATTCCAGTGTGGAAGGCCCTGAGAGGGCTATTCCCAGAACCCCTGGGGCACCTGGGTTCCAGAGGGATAAGCTGGCTCCTGCCTATGGCTCATTTCCTAAGTGAGCCACAGCAAGACTCCAGGGAGGTGGAGGCCAGGAGTTGGAGTCCGGGCTGCCTAGCTCTGGCCCTGTTTCCCAACCAAAATAGCTCCCTGGGGGCTCATTTCCTAAGTGAGCCACAGCAAGACTCCAGGGAGGTGGAGGCCAGGAGTTGGAGTCTGGGCTGCCTAGCTCTGGCCCTGTTTCCCAACCATAATAGCTCCCTGGACCCTGTCCCCAGCCCGTACCTTGTTGGGACACTAAGAGGCAGGTCAATGCCTATCATATCCCCCCTATGAGAAGCCCTTTCCACCACTCTTCCTCAGAGGGAGGGCCACCCTCCACCTTTTTAATAATCGGTCTCCAAACTACCAGTTCCCAAACGCTTTAGCTCTTGGTTATCTTCCAAATAACCACAACTCTACTTGCTGTGTGTGCGCCAGGCCCCATACTAAGCCATGTACACCCTAGATTTCACGGATCCCTCACTCCAATCCCTGGGAGTGGAAGTCATCATTATCTCCATTTTACAGATGAGGAAGTTGAGGTTCAGAGAGCCTCCTGCCCACCAGCCCCCAGGTCCAGCTGTGAAGGCAGCGGCAGGGTTCCAGCCAAGCAGGCGTGCTGTGGGAGGCAAGGCTCTTTCTGCCCAGGCCTGGTTTTACCACCCACCTGCAATGGGAGAGAATCTGCTGGGGGCGGGGGCAGGAAGGTGAGCTCCCTCCCAGGGGGTTCCCGCACTCCCAAGCTGGCACGTAAGTAAGTCCGTGGGTGCTTGCTCTCTGCCAGCGCTCTGGCCTGTCTGATCCCACCCTGAGCTCTTCCCCCGTTCCTTTCCAGTTCCCACCATCAGAAGTGCCTGCTGCGGGGCTTGTTTCTGTATGGTTTCTCTTGAGCATACCCAGCAAGCTCTGCTTCTCTGGGGTTGTGTGCTCACTTTGCAAAACAGCAGAAATTTATAGCCCAAGTAATTGATCACGGTGCTTCCGCCTCCCTCCATCTCTCTCAGTCTCCTAATTCCCTTCTCCTGCTCTGCTTTCCCTTCTCTTTTTTCTTAGCGCGCCATCTGTGGTGTCAGAGAAAAGGAAGCCAAAAAGGGAGGGAGGGTTTCTAGTCCCAGTTCTGCCAATTACAAGTCACATGAACCTCAGTTTCCCCATCCGCAAAACGGAGAAGCTAATAATACCTGCTCACAAGTGTGCTGGGCCCAGTGGATGCTGGGGCCCTGGTGAGCACCCGGAGCAACGGTGTGAGGTGGGGGTGGGATTGGGGCCACCTTCCATAGGGGGACACTGGGGGTCATTCACTCAGGCCCACAGAGCTAGCAATACAACCCTGGACCTTGAAGCCAGGTCAGTTGTGCTGCAAAGCCCAAACCATTAGGTTACACTTCCCTCAACCCCAAGGCCAATCAGAAAAGGAGTGCTCCTCCCCAGGCCTCCAGATCCCTATTTCCTTTCATCCTGGGGCTAACTACAGGGAAAAACAGGGTTCGTTGGGGCAAGGGGAATGCTTTGCAAACTGTAGAGTACCGTGAGGATGGAAGGAAACTTCACCATCAATTTCACCACTCTTCAGCACTGGCCCCTCACCTGAATAGAGACACCCTGGGACCCAAGAGCTTCCCTGACCCCCAGATTCCTCCTCTCCTTCCAGAAAAGCTGTACAAACAGAGGCCTCCCGCTGGCCAGGCCCTCCACATCTGCCAGCCTCCATGAAGGCCCATAGAACCTTCCAGAACGACCCACAAAAGGACTCCGAAGTGCTCTTCACTGGCCCTCCCCATGGCAGATGAGGCCCTGGGAAGGGTGGCCCGGGTTCCCTGGCCTGAGCCCTGCAGGCGTGGGCTGGAAACCCCCTCCTGAGCCCCACTGCAGGCTGGCGGCCGTTCTGCCCCCTTCTGTTCAGTTCTGGGGGGAGAAAGCGCTCAGGGGGCAACGTGCTTGTCTCTCCCCTCTCCATTCTCGGCCTGGCTTTGTCTCTGCCTCTGCACGTCTCTCTGTCTCTCCGCTCTGTGTGTCTAGCCTGCAGCCCGCAGGTCTGGACTTGCTTCCACCCCCCCACCCCC